GATAACGTTGTCAATGAGAAATAACTTTACCTTTAACTATGACTCATTATGATTCACTAAGTATCTTATTTTGGCCCCAAAATATCAGAATCTAGGAAGCTCATGATCTGTCAATTTGATCAGAGAGGTTGCACACACACACACACACACACACAAGAATATCCATCTGCCAAAAAGAACCATATGCAACTAGCTTTCTCCCCTATTCCCAACTTTCAGCTGCCAGTTGCACTGGAAATGCAAAACAGCATACTGACCTGTATTGTGGGAGCCTATGTGTAAGTTCTCAGAATGCTTGAAATTGTTATTTTTGGACTTGTTGTTGTTGTTGTGCCTTCTGACTTGTGGTGACCCTAAGGTGACCCTATCATGGGTTTTATTGGCAAGATTTGTTGAGGAGACATGCCATTGTCTTCCCTTGGGGATGAGAGAGTGTGATTTGTGCAAGATTGCCAATGGGTTTCATGCTCAAGTGGTGAATTGAACCCTGGTCTCCAGAGTTGCAGCCTATCACTCTAACCACTACACCACACTGGCGCTCATTGTATACAGCTTCCCAAATGCCCTGAACAAAAATGTAGTCCAAAAAAATAACTTTTCCCAAAGACATCCCTTTTGGCTTACAACTTGCTTTGAGAATTACTGGATGGAAACATGGAGCAGAAATTGTTCAAGAAAATAACTAATAATTTAAATAAATAACAGAGAGTGGAAGTTAAGGAGAAACCCATTCTAAATATTTTCCCCCAGGGGAAAGAGATCACTCTGAATATTTGCTGGCATGTGGTTGTTCACTGCCTGGTTTGAGAAATGTTGCAAACAGAAACTGTTATAGCCAATGCTATTACTCTGTAATAGTGCAGCCATTAGAAACCTATTCTGGTGGTAATTGATCACAAAAGAAGGCAAAAATTATTGGCCACTTCTTCAGGCATCATCATGCCAGCAGTGGGCAGCTAACCAATAGTTTTCTTATGCCAAAACAAGAAGTGGCCTCATTTATTACAGTTAAGAAATGTAGTATAAAAGCCACTGAATAGACCAGTGTGTACGTGCATTGGATTATAACTAAGTAACGTGACATGAGATATAGAATAAAAGGAAAATGAGCAATGCTTATGGTACATTAATGGCCTAATATTTAGTAATCAAACGGGGGGAAAACAGAGCCATATAAAAATAATGTAGCTAAGATTTTCAGATGTTCCTAGGAAAACCTCCTTGCCTTGGTACCTTTCCAGAGCTGAGCTGAGCCATTGCTTGATGGCCTTCTTCCATCATTCCTGTAGAGGATTTTTATTTGAAAAGGCTAGAATGCTGATGGATGTAGAATAATGGTGTGTATTATTGTTTCAAGAACATGAGTGGTTACTTAAGAAAAAAATATGGGAAATTGAATAATTGGCTGAAGAGAGGAACTAAAAAATATATGGAGGAAACAGAAAAATGACAAATAGGGACTTAGATGGGCCAAAGATTGCACATCTGTGAGCAAGAATTGATGTCTAGTGTATTCATCCACAAATGCCCTCAACTAAGCAGAATATATTTGGCATCCATTTGAGCACCTCCAGCTGCAACCTGGAAAGAGAACTGTATATTGCCATTACTTAAGGTGCTGCATGGTCCTTTTTCCTGCCATAACTGAGTTTGCAATCCTTTTGCAGGCACTCTAAGGGGAGAAATAACAAAGTGGAAAATATTGTTCATATCTTGGATGAGAAATAGAATCTGAGGTTTTAGCAATCCACAAAAGACAACTGTGCAGGTGTAAGGTAAGGAATGGAGCCAGCCTGGTGTAGAGGTTTGAGCGCTTGGACTAGGACTCTGAAAGATCAGGGTCTGAATCCCACCTCAGCCATGGAAACCCATGGGATGACCTTAGGCAAGTCACACTTTCTCAGTGACAGAGGAAGACACAGAGGAAGAATGGCACACCTCCTCAGAAGAAATCTTGTCAAGAAAAACCTATGAAAATGTGTCTGTAAGTCTCTACAGGAAGGTGTGTAACAACAACACAACAACAACAATGTAAGAAAACATATCAGAAGTCTGTTTCAAACTTTCATTTAAAAAAAGAATGTTACTAACATGTATTCTGAATTGTACCAGAAACCCAGGTTGATCTAAATTTTTCCTTTCTTGGTGAACAGCAACCTTAGGAATGGGAATCGTGTGGTTCTCCAAATATTATTGGATGGCAGCTCCCAGCATGCCTTGTCACTGACTTTGTTGCAAAGGTCAACATAAGTTTCTTCCTCTCCCCTCTGTATTTCAGAAACAGCCGCCCCAAAAAATGTGTAGGACAGGAAATTGTGGACTATGTAAATGCCTGTCTTGACAGACTGTCAGAAATAATGCAGCTTGAGTCTACTTTAACAGCCCTGGCTCAGTGCTAGGGAATCATGAGAATTGTATTTTTTTTCTGAGACATTGAGCCTTCTCTGTCAGAGAGCTCTGGTGCCACAATAAACTACAGTTCTCATGATTCCCTAGCACTGAGCCAAGGCCATTAAAGTGGACTCAAGCTGCATTATTTCTGGAAGTCTGTAAAGGTCCTTGGTCTCATAGTAATAGCCCCACTATTGGGACATGCCAACCATGCTTGTATTGAGATCCGTCATCCCTAGTCAACATGGCCAGTTGGGAGGAATGACAGGAGATGGCCCAACAACATCTGGAAGGCCAGAAGTTATCCATCCATACCAAAGATGCATAATTATTATTCTGACAAAAGACATGTATAGACACAATAAATGGGAACCTTTTTAAGCAGAAAGAGAGAGAGAGAGAGACCCCCTAGAGCAGGGACCGGCAACCTTTTTGAGACCTGGGCCGGTCTCCAC